TCTCTGAAAAAGGAACAAAGTAAATCCATCATCTGGATCAGTTTGTAAGTCTGTAAAAACTTTGACCAATGTCTGCCACGAGGTACCAATCTGATGAACCAATCAGACGCCTCCCTGTCTCTCTTATCCCACACTCAAAGCATGAGCTGAGCTACACTTCTGGAGAGACGGCGCTGCATGAAAGTGAGGGGGCGTGGCTTATGAGGGAGCACAGAGGGGAGGGGGTGCAGACGGAGCACTGAGGGAATGCTACTTTCAAAATCATGCTAGTTTCAGAAGATGACCAACCAGCCTTTAAGGTCTCTGACAGGCTCAGATTGTTGTTCAAACATTACAGAGGAAGAAGATTTTTTTTAACCACAAACAAATCTGTTTCATCGCTCTCATTTCGGTTTCCTGACGTGGACTGCAGATTATTCTCGTCTGTTCATGACATAATGACACTTCCTGAGTCCTGATAATGGCTCCCTCGATGAAAAGGCGGCCATGACTAATCCCTGCAGCTTCTGTGATGCTGTCGCTTTGTCCGCTCTCAACTCGCTCCCTGCTGGAAAACGGACGCCGTCATGCGAGGTGGCATTAAACGCATCCCCTGTAATGATGATAATAACAATAATATCAGGAGAAGATAATGTGCGTCTCCTCACACTCTCGTCTGTGTCTGATAGAAAACACGTGAGCCGTGTCGTGTGTCGATGGTTCAAAAACGGCATCATCAGCGTTAACGGCACGGCGGCGCTCACCCGAACAGAGACTGATGGGAGCTCGAGGTTGTTTTTGTAGAATGAGATCAAGTCGCTGTCGTGGAAAGAAACGAACAAACAATAATAATAAAAAGATGATTATGTTTGTTCACGGATGAAAAAGAGAAAGTTAGATGTTTAAAAGTTTTTATAGCTGAAGAAATAATGATCTGTGTTGACAGTTAAGAACGTCTTCGCTTCACCACCATGCTTAGGTTTTCTTTTGTGTTACAGATGACGAGGGCTCAGGCGCCGACGTCGGGAAGAAGTTCACCAAGTGCGGCACGTGTAAATACGGAGCCGAGTGTGACGAAGACTCCGAGGACGTCTGGTGAGTGTTGAGCTCTGCAGCTGGAACATCTTCACTGTGAAGCTGCTGCTCACTAATACCAATCTGAAAGATCGAACTCAAAGTCATTTCATCAACAGAGTCAAAACAAAAAGAGAAAGCTGACCATTTCTGAGTCCTAAATAACCTCTCATCTCCTCTCCTCTCATCTCCTCTCCTCCTCTCCTCTCCTCTCCTCTCCTCCTCCTCTCCTCTCCTCTCCTCTCCTCCTCTCCTCTCCTCTCCTCTCCTCTCCTCTCCTCTCCCCTCCTCTCCTCTCCTCTCCTCTCCTCCCCTCCTCCTCTCCTCTCATCTCCTCCTCTCCTCCTCTCCTCTCCTCTCCCCTCCTCTCCTCTCCTTTCCTCTCCTCAGGTGCATATGTAACATTGACTGCAGCGGCCACAACGAGAACCCGGTGTGCGCCACCGACGGGAGCTCCTACAACAACCCTTGTCTGGTGCGAGAGGCGTCGTGTATGAAGCAGGAGCAGATCGACGTCAAACACCTGGGCAGGTGCCCCGGTAAGACTGAGCCTGAACCAACACTCTGGATGACCTGCAGGGGGAGCACTTGTGTCTGAGTGTGTTATGCATGTAATGAATAATATCATATAATAACAAGTGATGGGATGGAGGTGGAGGACAGAAAGCATCACGAACAGGTATGTGAACGCTCCGGCGCTGACATCACGGTTCAGCTGATGAAACGTGACGGATTGAGGGATGAAATAAGAAATGGTGTTTTTGTTCAGCAGCAGCTCGTCTTGCTGTGTATTATGTGACGGAGAGAACTTTCATGTGTGCTTCACACCGAACAAGCTGAAAATGAGCCATTGAATGTCACATAAAAGCTTCAAATTGGATTTTTTTTTTTTTTTTGCCTTTCTTCTCAATTTTATCATATTTTTTCCCCGGTGTGCCAGTTCCCTTTCATCTCAGCCTTTTCTTCTCTTCACCGGCTGTAAAGCTGCTCTTCTGACGGGGGGGGGCGGAGTCTGCCTAGCACTTGTATTTTTTCCACATAAATGAAACCTCAAAAAAAGACGCCTTGACATGTTCGGGCTGTGCTTTTTAATGTTCCTTCTTAAACCTTCAGAAAGAGGCAACAAACAGATGCAAACACTTCACTGTGCTTCAAAGGAAATACACTGATGCAAATAGAGTATAGCATGAGGGTAATCCTCACCCTGAAACCTTAAGAGGACCTTAAAAACTCATAACATATGGTTGTGGATATGTTAGAAGGAGCACCAAACGTTTCTAAAGATTGAAACTGACAGTGAAGAGTTCCTTAAAGGCGCTAAATCTTACTTTAAAATCCATACACTCAAGCCTATCGCAGCAACTAACTGACGGGTATGAAATTAAGAAAACTGGACTAATAGAGACTCTCAAAGGAGCAGTATGCAACTCTGACACCTAGTGGTTCAAATGAGTACTGCAGTCTAAATTCTAAACATCATAGAGAGCTGTCTCCCCCCCCCTCTCTAGAGTGGATGCTCACTCAGGTCACCATGTGGTGGACTCTGAAGCTTCAGTGTTTATCCAGCTCTGCATGGGTCTGTAAACCTTTCTGTGTTCTAACCTCTCTCCATTTTTCAAAAGCATCTCCAATATTGATCCTAGTTTGAGCACGTTTCTGCTCGTGGAGCTTATTAGAAACATGCAGAGGCTTTTTAGGTCGGGTACAATCACTTCTATCTGAACCACTTCTCTTGACTGCTTCCATCGCTGCAACACCTGTTGACCTGATAACTGCTCTCATATCTCATAACTGCTCTCAAACCGGGGGGCGTCCAAAACGGCCGTGTGGGGTGCCTTAAAACAGCTTAATCTGTACGAGGATGCGTGTGTGTTTTGCTCTGCAGCTCAAAGAAACTGTTCTCCTGTTACTGGGAGTAAAGCCCGCTCTTTGAACGCTCTGATTCCTGCGGGTTTATCCGCTCACAGCTGTAACCTTTGACCCCGACTGGAGCGTCTGGGAGCAGACATCGGCCCTCTTCAGTTTTGTGTACAGACTGATAAATCTGCCCACTGAGGCCTCTGTTGCTGCTTTATTGGATCCAAATTGGAAAATCCCATCATCCAGACTCGTCCAGCTTCAGATAACGGGCCGTCATAACCTCGAGGATTATGAAAGGGGGCTCGTTCTCCACCGATAAACTGGCCCCGTAAACGAAAATCATTTTATAGACCCTGAGAGAATCTGTGGTCAAGATGACTCTCTCTCAGTGTATAAACATGAGAAGAGTTCAGAGACTTTAGCTTCCTCCATGTTACATTCAACCGTCTTTTCTTTCCTACCTTCCTCATGTCTGTTCCCGTTCTTAAATGTTTTCTTCAACCCTCCCTCCTTCTTTTTTTGCTTTCATAGTTCTGTGGTCCCTTTTTCCTCACACTTTCCTATTTTAACGTCCGTCTGGCCTTGTTTTATTTTCCTTCTTTGTTTGATCTGAAAGCACGTCTCAGGAGTTTAAATCTCGACCGCATGACGCTCCCTGAATCGCAGATTTATTTTCCTCCTCGCTGCTGCCGTTTCATTCCTCCAACCTCCTCCACTTTGGTTTGCTTGCAGACGACGATCATTACTCCACATTAAGTTGCTGATGTGTGAAGATGCAGGATTGATGTTGTTTCCCTCTCCGTTGAACGCTGCTGACTGCGCAACTGTGACCGTTTCATCTCGGGCCATAAATCAGCCTCGTTATCGAGACCATGTCAGACAAATTAATGTGTCTAATCACCGATGTTTTCAATTAACCCACAAACCAGGCATGCCGTTTGCTTTGATTCCATACGACATTAATCCACACCTTGTTACACATCCTGTTTGAATCTGACGCAGGGGAATTATCCGGTCTGGAATATGTTTCTGATTCATAATCACAGGATTTACCCCTAAATTCCACTAAGTCCGTCTCCGCTCCGTCATGTTAGCAGAGATGACAGGTTTTCATTTTATTCAATGTGTGTGCTTCCACTGGCTCCGCTGTGTTGTGTATTTGCCGGTATTTGTGCCGGATGTCGGAGCGCGGATTTACCAAAGAGCAGATCAAGCAGGACAGGAAGTCAGACAGTGGTTTATTTTCAGAATAAAACACTCCGCTCTGACGGTTCAGAACAATGACCCTATGTGTGTTTGTGGATGTGTTTATAAGAGTTTTATACGGTTTTATACCAGACACATCGTATTGTTTTGTGCTGTCGCAAATGGGATCTATGATTACCGTGGGAACTCGGGACTAGTACGGGAGGTAGAGCCTTCAGTTACCAGGACCAACTCCTTTGGAATCATCGACCAATCAGGGAGGGTCCTGGATGCAGTCTTTTACCCAAAGAGTTGACCTAAAGCTTGTACTTTGAGCTGGACCTGCCACTAGTTTTGCTGCTATAGGCTTAGACTGGTCGATGTTCTTTCACCTCACAGAAACACAAGAGTTGCTGATCGACTGTTGCCTAGATTTTACAGGGAGCCAATACTGAACAGCTAGTATGGGAGAAATGTTATTATTTATTTCACTTACAGCAGCATTTCGGACCAGCCGAAGAGTCCTCTGTGACTTATAAAGGCAGCTCAAAAATGAAGAACTGCTATGATGTAAGGATAGAGAGGTGAATGCATGGACTTGTTTTCCTCTGCTACTTTTTTTTTTTAACAGTTTGTGTCCTGGTTTTGCTATTTTTTTTAAAGAGGTGAGAAAGACAGTGGTTGATATTTGTTTGACGTGAGAGTTGAAGGACATGTCATTGTCACAGGTACTCAGAAGTGATTCAGGTTTTGAGACGTACTCCTCCGCGTGTCGCTTCTTCTTTTTAAGCTCTAGAACCCGTCTTGTTTTGACTTTAGGGGGTTACGCAAAACATCCTGAGACACGAAAGCAAAACGTGTGAATAGTTAGTCGTGTGAGAATCAGACACGCCTCTGTATTTAAGTCCGTCCGAGTAAAAACAAAACTCTGAGATGAGTGTGTAATCTCTTCACTGAGTGATTTCTTGAGTGAGGAGGGAGTGTCAGACACCAAACCTCATTTGCAGTCACAGTTTGCCGTCTGATGTTTTTCAAAGTCTGTTGCCAACACCCCCGAGCTCCTCCAGCCTCGGTGCATCCTCTCAGTATCTCCTCACATCTGATTTATGTTGATAGACTCACCTTGAATCACAATGTGTCGTCTCAGCGGGGACACACTCTGCGCTCGCTCTCGCTCCGCAGCGTTTGGCAGGGGGACGATACCCCGGCTAGATTTATGGATTTCTTGTCAGAAGTTATGGCTTTAAGGTGGCCGATGACCAAGTGTGTGATTGGCTTAGGGGGACAGTGGGTGAGTGGAGGACTGGGAGGGGGGGTTTCTTGCACCCTGGGCTGAAGAGCACCTGCCCTCTGCCTGATCTGCTGTCCCCTCGAGGCGCCATGCCAACACTTTCATGTTTGTCACCTCGGTTCAAAATAAACTGTACAGAGTAAAACGAGTGAAAAGAGGAGAGTCGAAACAAATCGATCAGAAAGGTGTTTCCTCCTTTTTGCACAGAGTCTGACACGGCTGAACAGAATCTGCTATTTCCTGCTTCTGTCTTTGTCATGTCTTGTGGTGTCGTCATGACAACAGAGTTTAAACTTTGATATGTTTCTAATTAACATCCATTTAAAAATCCCAGCAACCTTCTCTCTGGAGACGTTTTCTGACTCGATCACGCCCTCTTGTGGCTCGATTCCTTCGGCTCTTATGAGAGTTTCATCGCTGGAGTGATGCTGGTTGAAATGTCTCGCCATTGAGGTGTCCATACTGTTTGTGTTCACTGATGCGCTCACTGACAAAGCGCCTCCAGATATGAAATAGAATAAATCTTTATTGCCTTTGTCGGCGGCAGCACAGAGGTTGCTTCTCGCGTCCCTTATTTTTTTCGTTTCCTGCGCTCCTCGCTTGAACCAGAGGTCGTCCCATGCCGCCATGTTGGAGGACGTCTCAAGACTCTGATTTCTCTCTCTCTCTTATGAGGTTGTTCCTCCTGTGCAGGTGTTTATCAGGCTCTCAGGTAGAGTACACAGACTACACACCGTCACTGTGTGGATTGTATTAGGATTAATAAAGTGCAGACACAAACAGCCTGACTGACAGCCGAGCGGCGATCAGCTGATGTCATCATCACAAACGGACGCTACGGAGGAAAGGTCGTCTCTTAACACTTATCTCCTCGTTTCCTTTCTCCTTCGATTCTTCATGCATCTCTGGTGGGAGGGACTAAGGCGCAAGTGGAGGAAACGTGGATGCAATTTAAGAGACATGAGAGCAGGGCGCCGGTGGCCAAGTGGTTAGTGTGCGAGCCCCATGTACAGAGGCTGTGGTCCTCGCAGCGGGCGGCCGGTGTTCAAATCCCGCCTGTGACTCCTTTCCTGCATGTCGTTCCCTACTATCTCTATCTCGCTGATTTCTGACTCTCTCCACGGTCCTGTCTGTAGAATAAGGGAACGAAAAGCCCCAAAAATGAAGAAAGAGAGGACAGAAATATTCACGACGAGCGTCGGGCCGCTGCGTCGGGCCGCTGCGTCGGGCCGCTGCGTCGGGCCGCTGCGTCTGACCGCGTCGCCGTCCTTATCCAAACATGGTCTGATGTCGATGTTTTGTTTTCCCCTTGATCAAAAAAACAAGCATCAATTCCAGAAACACAGACAGTGTCGATACACTTTTCAGCATAAACCTTTAGAAATCATCAGATTGTTTTTGTTATAAAATCTTCTCTGTTATTGTCTGAAAACAGAGAGAGAGAGAGAAGGATGACATCACGGAGAAAGACAGGAGGAGATGAGGAGAGGTGGAGGTATCAACGAGGGAGAGACAGACAAGGAGGGGGGGAAGAGCGAGACAGAGAGGAGAGAGAGTTCTGTCAATATTTCCTCCAGAATGATGGAGCATTAAAAATGAATGAGTGTACGTTTGTGTGTGTGTGTGTGTGTGTGTGTGTGTGTGTGTGTGTGTGTGTGTGTGTGTGTGTGTGTGTGTGTGTGTGTGTGTGTGTGTGTGTGTGTGTGTGTGTGTGTGTGTGTGTGCCCTCTCTTCCTCCACACAGCACGAAGACACGCAGCCAGTCAACAGAAAAAAAACCCACAACAACACAAACACTTTTTCTTTTTCAAGTGGAATTCTTGTCACCCATGGCTGTCTTACACACGCACACGCACACGCACACACACACACACACACACACAGACCAGCTCAGACCGACCCTCGTCACCTTGACTCAGAGCAGATCTCAGACGCTGTGGAAACATCCTCTGACTTCTCTTGTTTTAGTCCATCCTCAAGGGGTTAAGAACACACACACACACACACACACACACACACACACACACACACACACACACACACACACACACACACACACACAGATTATCATCCATGATTCCATCAATGAAGGTTTAACTGTCTCTGTCTTTGTGTCTCTGTCGTCTGTTTTCGTCCACAGCTGATAAGGAGAAAGCGGGGAAGAAAGACGACAGCACTCTTTTCAAAGGAAACGTTTTAGGTAAGAAGCTTTCATTACACTTTGTCACTAATCTAAAGATAGAAGTGATTGTACCCGACCTAAAAAGCCTCTGCATGTTTCTAATATGTTGAAGTATTTCAGTGTGGACAATCACTGACAGAGACGACGTCGTCCCTGGAGCTGAGCTGTAAGCCCGGCTGAGACACTGAACGCCGAACACGTTAACGACCCCGGAGACTTTCTGTTCATTCGTCCTCCGATTATGAAAGCCCATTAAAAAACCACTTTCCTGTCATTAACGCAGCTGATTGTTAAACTTCCCGTGGCCCTTTCAGCAGCCTGTTTAACCTGCGTCTGAACCTGCAGAGGAGTAATAACCTCGGGGAGAAACTCAATGAAAACCTCTTTAATACACAATAACGTCGTCACGGGGGGGGGGGGGTCTCTGAATCTCTGCATTATGTGAGTAAACACAGATTAGTGGAGCGGAGACAAAACAGAATCCAGAAGGTTTTATTTATCTGCAGCTCGCTCCGCCCGTCGATATCAGCGACTATAACGTCACCGAGGGAAACGATTTACTCCCTCAGCTTCACTCACAGCAGCAGAACGTTCACTGTGATAACATGCGAGCTGAGAAAGCTTCATTATGTTCATGTGAGCTCTGCAGAGTTCAGTCGTCTGATTGGTCCTGGTGCATGGATAGAACCACATTCAGTCTCTAAAATGTTCCCAAAACCTCCTGGATGGTCACGTTGAAAGGTTAAAGGTCAAGTCAGTGGAAATGTTGCAGCTTGTAAACACAACATTCAAACTGGCTCCCTCATCGCCCCCAGAAGCTCCGCCCCCTGCAGGACGTAGTGTGTATGTTTACTGCTTGCAGCTACACTGCAAGCTAACGCACGCTAGCACAAGCTAACCGCCGGTGTTCATCACCTGCCTGCCCAGGAAGGTGACCAACTCCACGTCCACGGGTGAAAGACAACACAAGGTTCACCCTGTAATCAGTGATCTTTGGAAGTGCTGCAGAGTAGATTATCATCTTTACTACGTACACTTTATGACTTTTTGATCCAGTAGATGTCGCCCTTGAGCTCCAGTAATGAAAACAAAACAAACTGCTGTTAGGCCACGCCTCCTCCATCCTGAAGCCTCCGCTCTCCTCCAGAGACACACCTCCAACCCCTCTACACTCGCTTTCACACGGATTTGTTTAGCGCAAGCAGCGGACAAAATTACCCTCGGCTCGAGCTGCAGTCACCTGTGTCCTGCATTGTTGTGTTAGCATGCTAATGTTAGCGCTCTTTAGTTAGCTCGTAGCTTCACATTGTTGTGTTAGCATGCTAATGTTAGCGCTCTTTAGTTAGCTCGTAGCTTCACATTGTTGTGTTAGCATGCTAATGTTAGCGCTCTTTAGTTAGCTCGTAGCTTCACATTTCATGTAAACTGACACAGAATGAGCGTGATCTAAAAACTCTTACTAACATCCAAATAATCAGTGAGTATGTTCTTCTTCTTCTCTCTAGTTCTTGACTAAAACAGCTTTTATACACAAGGGGAGGAGCCGGCCGTCCCGTCCATGTAAACACGGCTCTGACAACAACACAGCCAGCGGGACTCGAGCTTCTCCCTCATTGTAGACAGTCAGGACTCAGAGACACATTTACACAGGACAGACTTTATGATTTATTTATGTGGAACATGTTGCTCATTCTTCTTTTAAAAGTTGCTCATACATCCCCACTTAACAAATCCTGAACTATCTCTTTAACTGCAGGTAGACGAGACGCTCCTCTCGTCATATTCAGCTCAGTGATCGTTTCTGTGTTACGAGGAAGAAGAAAAAAAACGCTCTCCAGTTAATTACGGTCATTTCGAGTCGTTCTCTCTGAGAGATAAAAAGTGGGAAAGCTTCCTGGGATGTTTTAAACGACACGTTTGTGGAATCTGTAATTAAAACGTCATAAATTACACCAGTGAAGGGTGATGTGTTGGTGATTATTTTCTTTGTGGATGAGACGATAAGTTCACGCTTCAGTCACCAAAACAGAATCTTAAAGAATCCTCAGTGAACAGAATATTAAAAAAAACACGAGAAGAGTTTGATTAAAGAAAGTCTGTAAAACCAAAGAAGCTTTTCTTTATGTCTCCCGACTCCTCGACACGTTTATAGATCTCTCAAATATCTCGTTAGCTCATAAATATTAAACGGCCTCACGCTGAGTTCAAGCTCTTCTTCATCTGCATTGCATATCAGTCATTTTAATGAGCCGCACAGACTGCTCTGTAGGCTGTTTTTTTTTGTTCTTAATTACTGCGGAGAGAGAAAGTGTAGAGAGAGAGAGTAAAACGTCCTTTAATGTGAAAAACGTCGTCATCTGTTCCTACAGCCGAGCAGCGGACTTCTTCAATATTTAAACTGGACTCTGTTCTTCACGTTCTCAAGCTGCTTCCTTTCAGTCCGTCCGGCTGCGAATCTATTTTCGACGGCGTACCCTGCAGGCACGCATCAAGCCGGACAGAATAGAACGACCCACACAGGAAGTCAGACAAAGATACGTGCAGAGCGTCCAGCCAATTTCAAAATAAAACACAATATCCAGACTCCTGATCGTATGAACAAAGCCTGAGTGACGTCACCGGGCGCTGGAGTCCCATCGATGGCGGTCTCCATGCTGGAAATGCTGTCTCAGTCTAACTTTCAGTCAACCTAACGACAGGCTGAGAGCTGGAGCTGAGGCGGGTTTTAAACCTCCTGACAAACCGTTACACCGCGCCCACCTGTCAATCAGGTCAGCTACACGCCTTATTGTGAATAACTCTTATCCTTCATCAAATCAAAACTGATGAGTCATCAAAACATTCACCCCCCGTACAGTGTGTGTCCATCCAGACATGAGCTAATCACACCTATTTGGTTTTTTGAACCAGGCTGTAAACATGTTCATCTCTGCTGTAAAAACAGGCTTTTTAGAATGGGTGTGTATGTGACTTCCTGTGCTTCTGCAGCCAGCCTCTAGTGGACACTCCAGGAACTGCAGGATTTTACACTTCAGCATCGGCTTCATTTTTCTTGATGTGTTTGTTCTTTAGAAACCACGGGTCTGGACCACGGCGACGGTTTCTACGCCGGGATGCCGATCCCCTGCACCGACAACTACGCCAGCTTCTGTGTCCACGGGAAATGTGAGATCAAATACAACAAGGCAATCTGCAGGTGTGTGACCTTTGAACCCAGCTGGCTCTCATATAACAGCCCGATCAAGATGAGTTCAAGGACTGACCCTCTCGTCTGTGTGTGTGTGTGTGTGTGTGTGTGTGTCACAGGTGTGATTCAGGCTACAAGGGTCCTCAGTGTGACGAGCCTCACGACTTCAACATCCTCTACGTGGTTCCCAGCGGACAGAAGCTTCACTACGTCCTCATCGCCGCCATCATCGGCGCTGTGCAGATCGCCATCATCGTCGCCGTGGTGATGTGCATCACGAGGTAAAGCAGCGCCCACTAGCGATCATTACATCACACTAATATCAATTCCAACGATATGGTTCCAACGCTGGCCCGAAGTTGCACCTCAAGTCTTACACCGATCGACCTCTGTTAAAATACGGTTGTCATGGTGATGGTTTTGAATGGTGTGATGTGAGAAGAGGTGGAGTCAACGGTCAGGATTGATTACATCCCTCAGAAATGTACGAGGACTTCGATTTTACTCCTGCTTCAGTTTTCCATGAGCCTGCATCATTTCACCCATCCAATCACAGAGGACTGTGTCATGACCTCATGTTGTAGTGGAAGATTTCACCACTAGATGTCACTGTTTTTATTGTACACTAGCTTTAGATGAAGGCTTTAGTTATCACCTAATCACGATGCTCACACATACACACATACACACATACACACAGTTACTCTCCCACTATGTTGACGAGCAGAGACGCCTGATTGGACGACGGAGGTCATGGAGGTCGTATGAACACTGTCCTATTTCTCACAAGTAGAGATGTATGAGCTTACAGCCGTAACTGCATTTCTGCATCATCACATGGACGAAGATGTTTTTGAGAACTGAGGGTGTTTAAGGTGGGGTGGGGGGGGGGAGTAAAACACACCCACCTACATGTGGACTCGGTCTGAATGAGCAGTTATTGCAGAAGAGAGATATTTAAGAAAGTCATACACTGCACTTTAAAATTTATCAGGGTGACCACTCACTAATTATTCTGAGTTCACATCATGATGTTAATCTCTCTGTCTCTCTCTCTCTCTCTCTCTCTCTGTCTGTCTCTGTCTCTCTCTCTCTCTCTCCTCTCTCTCTCTCTCTGTCTCTGTCTCTGTCTCTCTCTCTCTCTGTCTCTCTCTCTCTCTCTCTCTCTCTCTCTCTCTCTCTCTCTCTCTCTCTGTCTCTCTGTTTCTCTCTCTCTCTGTTTCTCTCTCTCTGTCTCTCTGTTTCTCTCTCTCTCTCTCTCTCTCTGTGTCTCTCTCTCTGTGTCTCTCTCTCTGTGTCTCTCTCTCTGTTTCTCTCTCTCGTGTGTTCTCTCTCTCTCCTCTCCTCTCTGTCTCTCTGTTTCCTCTCTCTCTCTCTCTCCTCTCTGTTTCTCTCTCTCTCTCTGTTTCTCTCTCTCTCTCTCTTCTGTGTCTCTCTCTCTGTGTCTCCTCTCTCTGTTTCTCTCTCTCTGTGTGTCCTCTCTCTCTCCTCCCTTCTCTCTGTCTCTCTGTTTCTCTCTCTCCTTCTTCTCTCTCTCTCTCTCTCTCTCGTGTTTTTCTCTCTCTCTCTCTCTGTTTCTCTCTCTCTCTCTCTCTCTCTCTCTCTGTCTCTCTTTTTCTCTCTCCTCTCTGTTTCTCTCTCTCTCTCCTCTCTCTCTTCTCTCTCATCTCTCTGTCTCTCTGTTTTTTTTCTCTCTCTCTCTGTTTCTTTCTCTCTCTCTCTCTGCTCTGTCTCTCTCTCTCTCTCTATGTCTCGCTCTCTGTCTCT